CTAGGATTAGGATTAATCTTAATGAATATTTCATTGAATATGAAATTTGAGACTATGGGATGTTTATCAGAGGGGTAGCTGTGTTAGTGCTTATCTGCAAAAATGAAAGGAGTCCTGTGGCACCTTAATGACTCATCTGATGAAGTGGGTCTTTGCCCAGGAATGCTTATGCCCAAAGAAATCTGTTAGGGTATGGGGATGTTGAGAGGATGGAGGGTGAGGAGGGTGTGGAGGGAGAAGTGGGAGGGGGAGAAGGAGTGGGAGGAGGAGTGGTAGCTGGGGAGGCAGCAGGCGCTGGAGCGACACAAGGAACCCTGAGCAAGCAGCTCTCGCCGGAACTCCCATTCATCCTGCACCCACTGCTCCATGGTGCGGTGCAGAGCTCGCAGGGCCCCCAGCTGCTGGTCTCGGTACCCCTGCAGTGTTGCGGTGGACCTGCTGAGCCCTCGGGGGCAGGAGGATGTCCCGGGCGGGGTGGTGCGCCCTGCACACGCAGCTGGTGAGGCTGTGGAGAAAGAAGAGAAGTGGTCAGTTGTCTCTGGGGACACAGTGGGTGAAGCCCAGGCCCCCTTTGTGAGGTGAGAATGACTGTGCCCTGCATCGTCAGAGCCGCTGTGCTTGCACAGAGGCCGTGGTCGGAATGTCCGGCTATCCCCAGGAGTGGGAGCTGCCTCGAGATTGCGCCCATGCCCCTGTGCTGTGTATAGTGCAGCTGAGGTGGGGGGAGATGTCCCCTGCCTCTGTGTAGAGGGGGCTTGTGAAGGGAAGGCATCCTGCTGTCTCCCACCCTGGGGTCAGGAGCATGTCAGGTCACACGTCTGGCTATTAGTCCACGGCTCATGTGGCATGCAGCTGGAGCCACATGCCCAGGGGTGGCACAACACGTGCTCGCACATGCACAGGCTGCTGCGTGGTCCGTGGTAAGTTAGGCCCATGCACGTGGTCCCTGGTTTCCTTTCCCCACCCTCCCAGGAAAGGGACAGTGATGGCACTTACATGGTGTGGCCTCCCTGGACGACCCTGGTGACACCACTGCTGGGACAGCTCGGTGGTCCAGCCAGCGTGCGACCCTCCATGGCGGCTCCTTCTCTGCACCCTGGTCAGGGCCCTCTGGTCTCAGATCGCTGCCCCCCGGGGTGGCACAGACCGTCCTACCCCCCATGATGCAGTCCAGGGTGTCAAAGTAGGGGCAGGTGTCTGCCCGTACTGAGGAGCTGCCCTGAGTGGCCCTGGCGTATGCCTGCTGCAGCTCCTTGATCTTCATGCGCACCTGTTCTTGTGTGTACATGTGGCCTTTGGTGGCCATGGTGGCAGCTATGCGTCCGTAGACGGCGCCGTTTCTCCATCTAGTGCGGAGACCATGGACATTGGAGGCCTCCCCCCAAACCTCAATGAGGTCCATGATCTCTGCAATAGTCCAGGAGGGTGCCCGCTGTTTCCAGCCCCTGGCTGGCTCCTGGGAGCTGGGGGACTGGGCGAGGGACAGCTGGCTGGAACTGGTTGCCCGGCTCATTCTCTGGCCACTGGGTGAGGGGCAGCGACTGCTGGCAGGCCTGGCTCTGGCATACAGTGTGGCCAGAGTCTACCCCTTGAAAGATTCCCAGCCTGGGGGAGAGGAGAGGAGTTTTCCTGGTTTGGCCCAGAGTGGCCACCAGAGGAAACTCAGAATGGCTAGAGGCCCCCTATTTCAGAATAAGCATCTACATAGGGCTTATTTCAAATTAGGCGTTATTCCTCGTAGAATGAGGTTTACCAAATTCAAAATAAGCGCCCCGCTATTTCGATTTTATTTCGAAATAGTGGTTTGCCTGTGTAGATGCTAGGAAAGTTAATTAGAAATAACAGCTGTTATTTCGAATTAACTTTGATGTGTCAACATACCCGTCTTCAATTTAAATGAAAGGCTGGCACTGAGTTGATAAGTAAATTGAATGGGGCTAAGAAATCACTGCTTCTACATTCAGTTTGTCCGTATGTATACTGAGAAAAACTATACTATGAGTAATTAAAATATCAGCTCATGTGATTACTGTCAGGTAATAGAGCATCTACGCCATCAGTCCTATTTCACTTGCATTTCTCTCTGCCCACACATAACAGTATTCTAACAAATAACAATACTGCCTCGCTCTTATATAGTGTTTTTTCATCATATCATAAAGTGTTTCACAAGCTTAAGGCTGTCCAAGCACGCTGAGAGTTTAATACAGTTGGAAGTTGGTGCCTGGCTATATTAGTGTAGTGCCTGCTACAAATCTGCATAATATAGAAATGCTTGAAGTTTAGCTTTAAGCTAAAGCTATTCTAAGTTATTCAATGAGTAACTACAGGCAGTCCCCGGGTTACACGGATCCGACTTATGTCGGATCCGCACTTACGAACGGGGCTTTTCAGTTTAGAAGATAGGATACACAAAGAACAAGTTAAAAGTCACTTAGGAAAGTTAGATGTCAGCAAGTCACCAGGTCCTGATGAAATGCATCCCAGGATACTCAAGGAGCTGATAGAGGAGGTATCTGAGCCTTTAGCTATGATCTTTGAAAAATCATGGCAGACAGGGGAGATTCCAGAAGACTGGAAAAGGGCAAATATTGTGCCCATCTATAAAAAGGGGAATAAGAACAACCCAGGAAACTATAGACCGGTCAGTTTAACGTCTGTCCCAGGGAAGATAATGGAGCAGGTAATTAAGGAAATCATATGCAAACACTTGGAAGGTAATAAAGTGATAGGGAATAGCCAGCATGGGTTTGTGAAGAACAAGTCATGCCAAACTAATCTGATAGCTTTCTTTGATAGGATAACGAGCCTTGTGGATAAGGGAGAAGCGGTGGATGTCATATACCTAGACTTTAGTAAGGCATTTGATACGGTCTCGCATGATATTCTTATTGATAAACTAGGCAAATATAACTTAGATAGGGCCACGATAAGGTGGGTGCATAATTGGCTGGATAACCGTAGTCAGAGAGTTGTTGTTAACGGTTCTAAATCCTGCTGGAAAGGGATAACAAGTGGCGTTCCTCAAGGGTCTGTTTTGGGACCCATACTGTTCAATATCTTCATCAATGATGTAGATATTGGGATAGAGAGTACTCTTATTAAGTTTGCAGATGATACCAAACTGGGTGGGGTTGCGACTTCTTTGGAGGATAGGGACATAATTCAGAATGACCTTAGCAAGTTAGAGAAATGGTCAGAGGTAAACAGGATGAGGTTTAATAAAGAGAAATGCAAAGTGCTCCACTTAGGAAGGAACAATCAGTTCCATACATACAAGATGGGAAGCGACTGTCTAGGAAGGAGCATGGCGGAAAGGGATCTAGGGGTCATAGTGGACCACAAGTTGAATATGAGTCAACAGTGTGATGCTGTTGCAAAAAAAGCAAATATGATTTTAGGTTGTATCAACAGGTGTGTTGTAAGCAAAACTCGTGAAGTCATTCTGCCGCTCTACTCTGCACTAGTTAGGCCTCAGCTGGAGTACTGTGTCCAGTTCTGGGCGCCACATTTCAAGAAAGATGTGGAGAAATTGGAAAGGGGACAGAGAAGAGCGACAAGGATGATTAAAGGTTTAGAGAACATGACCTATGAAGCCAGGCTTCATGAACTGGGCTTGTTTAGTTTGGAAAAAAGAAGATTAAGGGGGGACATGATAGCGGTTTTCAAATATCTAAAAGGGTGTCACAAGGAGGAAGGAGAAAATTTGTTTCTCTTGGTTTCTGAGGACAGGACAAGGAGTAATGGGCTTAAAGTGAAGCAGGGGAGATTTCGATTGGACATTAGGAAAAAATTCCTAACTGTCAGGGTGGTCAAATATTGGAATAAATTGCTAAGGGAGGTGGTGGAATCTCCCTCTCTGGAGATATTTAAGAACAGGTTAGATAGACATCTGTCAGGGATGGTGTAGATGGAGCTTGGTCCTGCCTTGAGGGCAGGGGGCTGGACTCGATGACCTCTCGAGGTCCCTTCCAGTCCTATGATTCTATGAGACGCGGAGCAAAGCCGCGGAGGACCCGGGCGGATAACGTGCATTTCCCTCCTTCCACCTTGCCCGTAACTGGCCAGCAGCCTGACTCAGTTCTGGCTCATGCCAGGTCTGGGAACTCAGATGCCCCTGGACGGGGACTGCTAGTACCCTTTATCAGAGGCAATAGCACAGGGCAACAGGCAGTTGGTTCGTGAGAGGGAGATGCTTTTTAAACTGGCTCCCCTCGCAGAATAGCTCCCGCCTGGCACGCCACACTGCTGAGGCAGCAGCACTGAGTGGCAGGGGGCTCCTCAGTAGTGGGGCCAGAGCGCACTGGCTGTCGGCCCCACCCCCAGGGGCAATAAAATAGTCAACTAACCAATAAGAATTCATGAGGTTACTTGACTATTCAATTAACATCCCTAGTCTCTAGTTTAACATCCCTAGTGTCTAATTGCCTTTCAAAGCTAGGCCCTCTGTGACCAGAGAGCAGAAGCAGCAGACCGAAGTGGAACAGACAGCAAATTCCAGGTGCCTTTTGTTTCTGTTCTTTGCTCCCCATCCTTCCAATGTTTTGGGCAAAATTTCCAGTTCAAAAACTGATAAACTTGGCTATTGACTTTGCAGCTAAATTGCCTAGTCTGTGTTGCACTGGAAGAGAGAGCTCATTAAATGCACTGAAATCAGAGTGCTCAGTGTAATGTGCATCAGAATCTATTGCATATGTATTAGCAACTCTGTTGAATATTTCCTCCATTTAAATTTGTCACCAGGGTGTCAAATAAGTGAAATGATCAGTCGTTCAGATGGTCAGCTGAAGCAAGATTTTAATCAAGTTTGTCTTTGTTACCGAGAGTTCCCCTACCTATTGGCTGAATGCATTTAACTGACTTGCTAGCCAGACACTTATACTAATACATTTTCACTGCTCTCTACACAATAGGATCATAGTATTATTAGGTCTGCAAATCACTAGATTAAATATGTGGAGGGGAAGGGGGAGGGGAGTAGTTTCAGTAGTTGTCTCTTCCCCAAGCAGCTTTTATGCAGAGACTGCACAGCTATTTCAAGCATTTAAATCACATGGGCTCAAGAACATTTTAATAAACCATGTCTAGCAAACGAGCCAACAGCGTCTCCTTAAAATACAACAGCTAGTGAGAAGCAGCAGGAAAGCAACTTGTTCTAAGAAGATAAAAACTTTACTTGCCAGGAAAGATGTCGGACAGAAGCCCCTTCGAAACAGATATGCTAACTCTGACTCGATACGTTATGGAAAAGGGACGACGAGTTAAAGGCGCTACAGGGGAGCTAACACAGCTGCTTAACTCAATGCTGACTGCCGTCAAGGCCATCTCCTCTGCAGTCAGAAAGGCAGGCCTCGCCCATATGTGAGTCCTATTTAGACCTATGCTGGGCGTAAGGGAGGGGGAGGAGAGGGATTTGCCTCTACATGAAAATGGGAAAGGGCAGGATTTTGTGAATTTAAAAAAAAAAAACTCATACATTAAATTCAATATGCCTCTCTTAAACTAAGTTACTGAAATTGGGAATTCTGAGTTCAGAAATCTAGCAAGGGCTGGAAATAATGCACATGCCAGAAGGGGGAGTGTGCGTGTTTATGGAAGATTTTACAATTGTTCCTAAAATGCCCTCTGAGACTAGCTGTGGTTCTGCAAAATTTTAGTTTAAAAACTGAGTCAAATGAAAGAGAAACAAAACCCTAGTGCCGTTATTTCTGTCCTGTTCATTGTATTATCTTTGGTGTAATTTTAAGTCTTTGAACATTTACAGAATATCATACTTTAATATCTTCTGCTAATGTCCAAACATATTATCACAGCTAGTGTCTGAACTGTGGAAAATCAGGGTTTCCCTTGGGAATGCTGATGTCCATGTCCATTATTTACAGCATTAACAATATTAGTTCAGCAGTGCTAATAGAAGGCCTTCTTCTGCCCTTATTATGTGTATCCAATTCCCAATGGTGTCATGGTCACCTGAAAGTGGGGTGTGCCTATGCAAAGGACAAGCACAACCACTAGTTTGGCTTCTGGTCTATTGGAAGATGGGAATTGAGGATCCCCTTGATACAGTCTAAAATGAACTGACCTGTTTTCAGGTCAGTATAATTGTATAATTGAAATATATTCTTGTAAATATGTACGGGGTGTACACTTAATTTTGAGGGTCAGTGATGTATAATGAAGGCAGACCCCATTAAGCAGTTTATTTCTCTACTATGTGGCAGTGGAAATTGTCACACTTAGGGTGTGTCTAGACTATAGGGTTTTTTCGAAAAAACGTCCCCTGCATCTAGACAGCCACCGAGTTCTTTCTAAAGTAAATCGAAAGAACGCAGCAGTTTTTTCGATCACAGAAAAACCTCATATTACGAGGAATAACACCTTTTTTCGAAAGTGCTCTTTCAAAAAAAGTAGTGATAGAGATGTAGCCGTGTTAGTCTGGTGTAGCTGAAACAAAATACAGGACTATGTAGCACTTTAAAGACTAACAAGATGGTTTATTAGATGATGAGCTTTCGTGGGCCAGACCCACTTCCTCAGATCAAATAATGGAAGAAAATAGTCACAACCATATATACCAAAGGATACAAGAAAATTCTCCCATCACCCTAGCTACCATCTCTTGAGAGAGGTGTAATACCTACATCAAAAGTAAAGCCCCTCCCATCAGCAAACAGTGTCTTCACAACAGCCTTTTAAGTGTACACAACCCCTCAAGTGACATTAAAAAGGAGCACAGTCACTCCAGGACATACAAGAGGCTGCTGTAATGAAGTCTAATCTGACTTCAGTAGCTATTTGCAATCAAATGTGTCTGCTAGTTAATAATTTGCACAACTGCAAACATTAGAAACAAGTTATACATTGAAGTGAATAATTTTCAATAGCTGGTATCAATCAGATTTTTCTTTCATATATTGGAAGCCTTTCTAAAGCTATAGTTCAGCCCTGCATAGAGATTAAAATTACCAAACAAAAAAATTAATGAACTGTTTTTTCTTTGTGATCCTGTCTAATGTCTGTTTTGTGGGCATTGATTCTTTGGCGAAGTGTCTGAGACGTTTGTCCAATGTACATAGCAGACGGACACTTTCGGCACATGATAGCATATATTATATTTCTGGAGGCGCAGGAATATGTATTCTTGATCTTATAACTCACTTGGTTAGGCCCAATTATTATATAAGTTATAAGATCAAGAATTGATCAAGTTATATAGCGTTACAAGATCAAGAATACATATTCCTGCGCCTCCAGAAATATAATCTATGCTCTGCCCCAGGCGTCCCCAAGTCAGCCGCTGGTCAGTTTCAGCAGCAGCTGAATCTGGACGCCAGTTCCGACTTACGTACAAATTCAACTTAAGAAACCTACAGTCCCCATCTTGTACGTAACCGGGGGACTGCCTGTATTTAAAAAGTGAACGCTGACTTTTTGAAAGTTTTCTATTCAACACAAAGGAGAAGAATTTCAAAGGGCAGTTAGGAGCCAAATGCCATTTGTTTCTGTGGAAACCTTCCCCATAATACTAATCATTCATTAAGTATATGAAATGTGGGCAGATTATCGTGGAGTGGATACATATCTGAAATCAGATGTTGACTTCTACAATTAATCATGAGCCTCCTGAGTCGCACTCTTTTTTTTATCAACTAAATAAGTTTCATCTGTATGTCATACTAAATCATTTCATAAAACCACACATCGTAGCAAAGCATGTCCCAACAATTTTTATAGTGAACTGTCACAAGAAAAGACTTAAAAATACCCCATTTAGAAATCATTGTACTTTCATGGGTCATTATTTCCCTCTGAGCCGAAAGTGGCTCCCGCTTTTTGCCTCAACAGAGAGAGCTGTTACTGACAAAGTGACAGAGTTAGAGCAATAGCTGCTGTGTTAATGTGTGCTTAAACAAAGAGTGAAGCAATCAGATAGGGAACTCTGCTTATTAGCTCTGGTGTCTGACCTTCTGTTGGAAAACGTGACCCTTGTTTCACAAGAGTTTATCTGCTCCAACCTCACTTTGTTCCCTCACTAATGTTAGTCCTTCGTAAAGTCTGAATATTTCCAGGTGCAACAGGAGGAAGTATTGTGGAGTCTGTTCATGGCAATCTTCTCTCAAAGGGCATGTCTATACTAGAAAAATATTTCAAAATAACTAAATGTGAAATAACTCCCGAAATAACTATTTCAAAATAAGCTTATTCCTCGCAAAAGCAGGAGTACAGATTTCGAAATAACCAGCCCGTTATTTCAAAATAATGGGATTGGTAGTGTGGACGCTGCACTTATTATTTCAAAATAAGGAGGGTTATTTCAAAATAACTCCCAAATGTAGACCAGGGCAAAGAGAGCTGAATGAATTGCATTGAAATCCTCAGCATGGCACTAACAACATATTCTGACATCATGGCTTCCAACCCTATGTTGCGAGCTCAGGGGAGGGGATCTATTCCTTTCCTATCCTGTTATATTTTTACTGTTACAGCTGACATTCCACTGCCAAGTGTCACTGCTGTGCAATGGCACATGCCCCAGTGCTGCTCTACAACACTTCTTGAGAGCATCAGTGCAAGGAAAAGAACCCATCAGATGATCTCTGGGACAGTGGAGGTGACAGCAGCAGGTCCCCATATTCTGGGGGCGGGAGGGAACAAACTCAAAGGAGACACGGGGAAGGACATAGATTTGAGGGGATCACTTCTCATTCCAATACTGTATACATTAAAACAGAGGTTCCTTCTGTCTCAGGGGTGGATGCATCAGTGATGACTGAAATAATGTTTGTGTATGTTTCTTTCCCACCCCACCCCTCCAAGTTTTGTGGTTTGGAGGGAGGGGGCACTGAGTAGAGTGTGGGGGAAAGAGACAGTTTCATGAAAAAGCTATTTCAATCCAGATGCAATTTCCACAGCAACCAGGGGGAAGTCACAAACATTATTATGGTAGCAAAATAAACAGCAGGGACAGAAAGATTTTTAACAAACAAAGCTGTTTTCAAGCAAATTTTCCTAAAAACAAACAGAAATATTTATAAAACCTTCAAAGTACAGGTTTTCCATGAAAACTCAGCAGTAATTTCTGGCAAGTATCAGAGGAGTAGTCATGTTAGTCTGTATCTGCAAAAACAACGAGGAGTCCTGTGGCACCTTAAAGACTGAGGGTATGTCGACACATCAGCATTATTCTGCAAAAACAAAGAGTGTGTCTACATAGCAAGCCATTATTTCGAAATAATGGCGAGCTAGAGGACTTCTTACTCTTACTCGTGTAATTCTCATTTCACAAGGAGTAAGGAAAATCAGAGGAAGAAGCTTCTTCCTTCGACTTCCTGCCATGTTGACAGCGCCAAAAGCCAAATTAAGCTATTTCAACTTCAGCTACGCATTTGATGTAGCTGAAGTTGCGTAGTTAATTCAACTTTTGCCCTGATGTGTAGACGTGCCCTAACAGATTTATTTGGACATAAGCTTTCATGGGCAAAGACCCACTTTGTCAGATGTGTACATACAACTCTTTCTGAAGTGCAGTCACTGATTGCAAAATGAAGCCATCTGGTGCTCTATAGGGGCTATTACACGAAGTAGAAAATCTTGCATGTGGAAAATATTAGGCAGATTACCAAAGTGATTAATTTGTGTGCCATTTGGGATCCCTTTAAAATTATGGTTAGGGTCTGATATAAAATGACATTGAGCCTACTTCTGTTTTCTATAAAGGAAGTCTAAATCAGAAAAAAATAAATGGTTGTATTCTTTGCACATCCTAGTTACTTTATTTTCCTCTGCTTCACAGTCTTGCTTATATTTAAGAACCATTGTCAACAGTGAGGCTCCCCAAACCAATATAGCTTAAATATAAGTGGTGAATAAGGCAAGCCTGCCACCCCAAAAAATTGATGAACCCCAAGAACACAACTTAATTTTGAAATCTTGTTCATCACTGTATTTAAAAAACAGAACTCATCATGATGTCCTGAGGGAGTTACAAATCACGGTTCTCCACAACAAGGGCTCTTAACACAGAAAACCACTTCAATTTCTAAACATTTTTTTTAGAAAAGGAGAGAAAATAATCAGGGCTACTAACCAGTCCTTTTTAAAATAATCAAATAAATATTTGCTTTAGAGGAGAGCAATAAAATGCTACTAACAGGGTTTCTTATTTGCTTCCCTTGGTCTCAAAAGTGACTGAACCAGATAAGGTAGATCAAAAATGTATTTTCTGAGTTGAGAGTTTTGCCTTAGAAATTTTTTTAAACTAAATCTCTGAAAAAATCAGGGTTTTATCATGGAAATCCCATGACTGCCTAATGTAGAGCATCATGACCATTTGCTTATACAACAAATAGATCTTCATTTGGAGGTGCAGCTCAGAGAGGGAAGTAGTTAGACAGTGTCTGTAGACTGTAATATGAATTGGGGCCTGGTCAAGGACCTATCTGACCCCAGATGTAAGTTAAAGATTCCTCATGGTCTGGTCTAATTAATGGAGATGATGAATAGCTCCCCAAATAGGCTGTTCTGGGACAGAGAAATAGGTTCTGGTCACACACTCTGCTATCTCATACAAGCCTCCATCATTTGGCTACTTCCTCCAACAGTCACTCACAGCACGAACCTCACAGAGGTGTTTGAGTATAGAGGAGGGCCATTCCAGTGTCAAGAGTATTCCCTATAGGTCAGTTAATGTGACTTTTATAGTGGCTGAATTAGTATGAAGAGCTCAAAAGAGAGCCCAGAATTGAAGCTACTTAATTTCCTTCCTTTATACTGGGGCTACTCAACACTTGGCTCATGGGCCGCATGCGGCCCACAGCCTGTTTGTTTGCAGGCCTCAGTGCAGTTTGTGTTTACGCAGAGCTCAACACGCGGTCTGCGGGTGGGATCCTTTGAACATGGGCTCCACTGGGAACACGCTCCATAATGGCGAGTCAATATAATGGTCTTTTGTTGATATGCATTTTAGTAGTTAAATTCCTGGACTGTCATTGCTCATTAAAAGTGCTGTCATATGGGTAGAAATCGGGTTAATAGTGCATTTTATTAATATCAGCAGAACTGACTTAAATGGGGTCTGCGTGTTGTGTGGTCTTGCCTTAATCTTTGTATTCATGCCCGTCAGTGTGAAAGAAGCTATTTGCATATACTTGCATATATATTAGCATGTACATGCAACCACACTTAAGTTGCAGCCCTTGGCATGTGCTGTGAGTATCACTGTGGCCCCCGGAGCTTCCAAAGTTGAGTAGCCCTGCTTTATACAGATTTTCATTTACCTCCAGGAATGGATATCTACAAGGTATTTTAAAGACTTGAGTGTATGTGGGAGGAGTGGAAAGTGGGACACGGGCAGGGAAAAGTCACGGTCATCACTTTTCTGAAGTCTTAATGTTCCTGTCAAAATACAGGCCTGTCTTGTTGCTTAGAGGTGTCTTAGTGTTTTCATGTCGTGTACACATCCTCTTTTCTTTAGGTATGGAATAGCAGGAACTGTCAATGTGACTGGTGATGAAGTGAAGAAGCTGGATGTGCTATCTAATTCACTGGTTATTAACATGCTACAGTCCTCCTACAGCACCTGCGTCCTAGTCACAGAGGAGAATAAAGACGCCGTTGTCACTCCACAAGACAAGAGGGTGTGTTCATATGTCCGTGTTCTCTCATTTAGCAGCAGGTGGTGCTGTTACTCCGAGTATTGAAAAAAGGGATTAGAGACCATGTCATCTGTAAAAAAGCAAAAAGGCACAAGCTCCTAAGCGATAGAGAATCTGCATATTATTCTACTGCTTAAATGATTAATTACAGGGGGTGAGCTGTTTTCAATAAGTAAGGAATCCTTGCTAAAGACTTGTAATTAAAAAGGGGGAGAAGATAATTATTTGTGAGCATGATAGTGAAACTGGGATCTCAAAATACATGTTCAGACTTTTCTGAACATCGGCGTGACTTATTTTTATGTGCATGAACATTTACCCATGACTACAAGGAGTAAGGTGCTACTCAGTGTGAGCAAGGGTGGCAGAACTGGGTTCTAAATTAAATGCCCTAAGAGAACAAATCGCTTCCTACAAGGATTCCCACATGTATGGAAACACCTTGTATTATGATACCTATTCCATTAATTTAACATCAAGTCCCAAGAAAATAATAATGTACAGTTCAGGATTTGGACTAACACTCCACCAACAGCCATCTATTCCCCTTCAAGCCTCACTTCATAATCCATTAACTCCCAATACAATTTACATAAAATTTGTTTAATAAACCAAGAAATACTTAGAACAAAACCACACTCAGTTCCTTTGCCTTCACACTATGGTCTTGCCTCACCCCGATCCTTTGTGTAGTTATAGTGTCAGCTGTTTGGCTAAGCCCTAAGTCTCTGCATTTCAGTGATGTGCTGTACAAACGACAATCATACATTTGGTCTGGATTTGTGAAGGGCATCTGGTTATCTAAACATCGTAAGAAAAATATAGTATTTACCAAATTAGGAAAAAGATACAACAGGTCAACAGGCAACCCCCGCACTTATGACCTAATTGGTTCCTGGAGAACTGTTGTAAGTCAAACCTTCGTAAGTCGAACCCTTATTTCCCATAGGCTCAGTGTTATAAATGGCAGTTCCATTCCATTTCATACCCTAAAAATACCAAAATTGACTATGGAAATGGAAGAGAACTAACCTAAATAATTCAAATAATGCACAAAAATAATTAAAAAGTGAAGACCGATGTGGCAGAGACGTACACAGTTCAAGCAGCAGCTGCAGACTGGCGAGTCTGACTGACCGTGTGCGTTTCCTGTTTTGGGATGACATGTGGAGTCTGCGTCGTACGCTGTCATAAATGCAAGCTGCGGATGTAAATTTGAGGTTTTTAGGAGCTCACATGAAAAAAATGGTCATAAATGTGGGGGGTTGTAAGTCGGTGATCACCTGTATTATTTAATGCTTCTCTTTTCTGTCCTCTTAGGGTAAATATGTAGTGTGCTTTGATCCGCTAGATGGCTCTTCCAATATAGATTGTTTGGCATCAATAGGAACAATATTTGCTATCTACAAAAAGGTAAGTTGAACAAAACACACAGTGAACCAAGCATTTCCTCTATATCAATTCCCTCCACTTTCATATCTGGTGTCTTTTGATCCCAACAGAGCTTTAGAAAGATAGTGACACTGAAACACAATGAAGATATAAATGTATCAAATAATGGATTTAATTTTAAAACGAAGCACACTTAATTGTCCATATGAAATTCTTGGGCCAAAGCACTTCCTTTTCCATCCCACAGAGTAATTTAAAAATTGCTTCTAATTATAAGGCAATTGTTAGCTCCATCAATTCTATTTACCCACTTCAGTCAATGAAGGGAAGGGGTAGAGCCCCAGTGTCTAGGTGCAGAACCAAACTTACGTAAAGTTCAGATCTGGAATATTGGTTCCTATCCATCTCTACAACTCACAGTATTTGTTTGCCCACTAGGGAACTACAAAGAAAAGCCATTTAACCACCAGCATTTGCCAACAGAGTAATGTCAATTCTCACAATTTTACTGTTTGCAAGTCTCACAATATTTGGTGTTTTTATGAAAAGCCCTTGTTCACAGTCAGATGATTACATCTCTGTGGTGCTGCCTGCCTCCCCATCCCCTGTGTTGCCACCTCTATCAGAGGCAGCGGAGGAGACAGAGAGGGGAGGCTGCTGTAAAGCATCCCCTGTCCGCAGGGGTCTTCTGTTTGCAGTGGCCCGGGCTGGCTGTGAACAGGGGCTGCTGCTGGAGCAGCCTCTGCCTGCGGGGCCAGCCCCAACAGAATCGGTTATATCTCTTAAGTGCACACTACACAGCATCTGATTGATAAGGCCTTGAAAGTCAGTTTTACAGGCATCTGATCCTTTGACTTCAGCCAGATGGTCCATTCACCTATCTGTCCTTTGCTTCCTTAAAGTTGTCTTGCTTTGTTTATTTGTATAAAACTATCAAAACAATATTCCTGCGGGTTAAAGGAGATTTAAGGGAAAGAAAGAGGATACCAATACCATCCACTCACGAAGAGAAAAGAATGTAGACAAAACCAAGAGAAAAAACGGAATAAATGTAAGATTTGTTTTATTGGTATGAGAAGTTCAATCTACATCTATTTCTTCTCAGTCTCTCTCTTCCTTGCATCACAATATCAGACTTCAGGGATAGGATATGAAAAAAACAGTGTACAGGTTGAACCTCTATAGTCCGGCACTCTCTGATCCTGCAACGTCCGTGGTCTGGCATGATTTTAGTTAGCCAGATGTCACCTTATCATGGGTGTGGCCAGATTTCCTATGGCCCAATAAAGTTTGTTTACAGCCACCAGTCCTGGCTCTCAGTGTTTTCTGCTGTTATTTAGCTCTAATTCGCCCCTAATGTCTTCTAAGAGCCCAGTAAGCAGGGGAAGTGTTAGTAGTGCTGCTAGACAATATTGATCTCCTGTGGTCCGGCAAATCCTCTGGTTCAGCACCGGTCATGAGCCCACGCCTGGCAGCAGTGGGGCCATAGCCCAGTGGCAGTGGGGCTGGAACAGGGCCAGAAACGGAGCCGGCCTCAGGAAGGGGCAGCAGGCTGGGAGGTCAGTAGCAGGGACCTCCCCTGGTCCAGCAAATTCCCTTATTCAGCACTGCTCAGGTTCCAAGGGCGCTGGACTTTTACCAGCTCTTATAGCCTATACCAGCTCTAGCCTATACCAGCTCTTATAGTGATTCCTTCCCTCCAGTCTCCAAGCTTTGGGAAAGTTACTTATGACAAAAATGTCATTCTAAGTTTGTATGGTGTTTTCTGAAAGATATAGTAAAACTTCATGGAACTTATTTATTCTACCTTGCACAATGAACGGCTGGACTGATTTTGCCAGAGTCTGAACCTTTGATTCTGTGGAATCAGAAATTTCAAAGTCTATGCCAACCCATACCCTATACCATAGCCAAAATATTGTTGAAGGAAAAGAAAAGAAGATACTAAGGTTGTATAAGGCTTCCGCTTTCTGTTTTAATTTATTAGTTTACTTTTTATCATAATTCACTAGGACCAACCTATTTCACAGACTTTAAAAGCCAATAAAATAGCCATAATTTCCAGCATTATATTTTTACCTCTGAAAAGATTTTCATTTCTTTGTGGAAATTTGTCTGACACTGAACTTTCCTTCCTCCTTTGGTTGTGCAGAGCACAGACATGAACAAGATATAAAAAACAAGCAGAATTCTGGCCAGCATCCATTTCCCTAGGAAAAAGTTCCTTTGGTTTTTCAGTATAGGCCATCATTGTTTAGTTTCTCACTCAGGACTATTGGAAGTGGGGGAGGAGGATGAAACAGTCATAAGTCTGCAACAATCACCTCAAACAAATATACCATGTTTGAAAGCAGTCTTCAAGAAAAGATTTATTTATATTTGCTTTACATAAACATCAGGGTCTGTAAGGTCTGAATGAGAATCCTTTGGTTTCGGTAAATGTGGGGGGCAGAGGAAGAGAACATAAAAGCTAGCTAGACAGTCACAATATTGTTTGCAATCGGTACATAAAAGTTTATTTTTTAGATTTCATTTTGTAAGGAAGTAGTCAACAGTGAACAATAACTGCTTTTGATGTTGATATGCTTGTGTGCACCATAGGTTAGGGCCGTTAAATTTTGATGAATCAGCTATTTGCGTAGTGAATGGAATTTCTATCGACTACTTGATCAGTCAATAAAGGAGTGCTTGCTATCCCACTGTGCCTCTGCCTTCAAACGTACAAGAGCTGCCCGTGGCTTTTGTACATTTCAAAGGAAGAGGTGCAGCAGAGAACCAGCGCAAGTGGGAACCTGACTGCTGTGCCTCTCCCTTAGAAAAGTACAAGAGCTGCCTGCGGCTCTTGTACATTTCAATGGAGGAGACCAGCAGTTGGAATCCCATGCAAGCGGGAACTGCTTGTGCCATTTCCCTCACTGCGCTTCTGGCTCCCCTGTGGAGATGATGCTGAGGGGGAACCAGCTTTTAAGCCGGCTCCCTCCAGCACTGGCTCCTGCCCACCTCTTGGTGCCTCTGATACAGAGGCAGCAAGGGCTGGGGAGCGATTAGTCAAGTAGTGACTTAACTACCTGATAAGCGCTTATCAGGTAGTCGACTAGTCGTTTACATCCCTACCACAGGTATATAATTTTAAAACTGAAGATTTTAAGGCTTGAAAGTATAAAAATCATGTTAGTCATGGCAAGCTACCCGTCTTTGATAAAAATTATATAGGAGAGTTAGCAGCATGAAGTCAGTATTAAGGATCTAAAATGTGCACTCATATTAATGCACATTCTTTAATACACTGTAACCTTTCTGAATGAGCTGTTTTGCACTGAATCATTATTAGTCATAACATAAATCTGGTAAATGAATTCTTCATCATGGGTTCACAATATATGACTACATGTGAATGCATTCTTAAGAAATTATAATGTACACTATGTCTTAGCTCCTAAGGAGCCATTAAGGTGCTCTGTCTAAGAATAATACACCATAGCTCAGGGGTTTACACACTTTGGGGCACAGCTTGTAAGGGTAAGCCATTGGCTAGCCATAAGACACTTTATTTACCTGACCATCTTCAGGTACAGTCACTGGTAGCTCCCAGTGGCTGTGGTTCATCCTTCTTGGCCAATGGAAGCTGCAGAAAGTGGTAGCCCAGCCCACGCTGCTTCCTGCAGTTCCCATTGTCTGGAATGGTGTACTGTGGCCACAGAGCTGCGAGCGGCCATGCTTAGAGATGCTAAGATAAAAGCATCTTGCAGCCAGCTAGCAGCTTATTCTGATAAGCTGTGACCCAATGTTTGAAAACTCCTGATGTAGCTAACCCTGTCTGCTCTTATTTGAGCCTATATTTCACCTTCCAGTATGTCCCCATAACCACAGACACAATCAAGTAGATTTCACTTCATTTCCTTCTGCAAACAGTTGTCATGTTGCTACATGTCATTACACAGTTGCTATATTTCACCAATGTAAAAGTGGTCAGAAAAAGACAGTGAGGGAAATGTTGAAAAATCAAAAACTTTAGACTTTTGGACAAAACATAAAAACCCTTAAAGAGCATAGAGAATAATGATTCTTAGCATGTACCACAGAGTCAGAAAAAGCAGAAGTCAAAGATTAGAGAAAAATATTATATCAGCTGCTTGGCCTCCCTGCCAGAACAGAGGTGTGTCCGACTATAGTTTCTAATGTTTTGTTCTGTATACTTTACAATCTCCCAAGCAACAGGGCTTCCTTCCATCTCTTCCCTAGGAAGATTATTCCAAAGTCTAATGCATCGATCAAGAAGTTTTATACGGATAATTTTTCCTTTTATTAATGCAATACAATTACTGCTTTTCTATCCACTTCAAAACTTTCATAAACTTATATCCCTACTTCTATCATTTCCTAACCAAACTGCAAATATTTATCTCTTTCAGTCTTTTCTCTTTCTCTGGCCCCTGATATTTCTTTTTGCTTTTCTCTGAGCTTCCTCCAGTCTGTAAATATGTTTCTGTCAATGTGGTACCTGGAGATAAATACATTTTTACGTACAATCTTACAGAGAAGGATTTTGTCAACTCCCTTCTCTCCTTCATGAGGTGACATTTCTGAGAATACAACTCAAAATTCTACTGTACTATTTTGCTGTCACGTGGCATAATGAATTAATGTTAATTTGTTGTTCTCTATCAACCTTAGGTCTTTTTCAGCATTACTGCTTCTCAAGTTGGTCCCTTTCATTAAACAGAAACGTTTGAATAGCCATTCTCCAGTTTTATATATCATCTTGCATTTTTTCTGCTGTTTTCTGCTCTCTCTTTAAGTCATTTTGAATTATGTCTCTGTCCTCATGGGCATTTTCAGTTCCTACCAGTTTAACATCTTCTATTAATTTAACTCACACGTTGCTTACAGATGTCTATAGAAGATGTTAAATAGGGCAAACACAAATCACTTCCTCTAGTAGACACATCTCCTCAACAGCAAACATTTTTGTTTAACATTGGTTTTGCTTGTTGTGGCATTAAAATCAGTTTTCAGTCCTCTAGGATTTATTTATAAAACACCATATATATTTATGCATTATATAAATAAGAATATTAGTGCTCCTTTTCAAGCTATCTAAAATGCTTTATTGTTTTTACAAACATTCATGTAAAGAACTCTATGTAGGGAGTTCTATTTATTCCACTTTATAGATGAGTTATAACCCACACATGGAGGTTAAGTGACCTGCCCAAGTCATCAAGGTTCGTACTGGAATTCATGGGTCCTGTGCTCCTATTCTCTTGCTTTCTCGCCCCTCATAGTGGTCTCTAAAGGTGTGTCTACAAGGCTTAACTCAAAATAAGCTATGCAAATTGAGCTACTTCAATGGTGTAGCTTATTTTGAAATTGAAATTGGAATAGTCTACACAGTACTTATTTCAAAATAGAGCACATGGGTACGTCTGCTCAGCAACATTATTTTGAAATAACTTAAGCCCGCGTCTACAAAGCAGACAGTTATTTCAAAATAATGTCAAAATACTGTCAAGCTGGAGGACTTCTTACTCCGACTCCTGTAATCCTCATTGTACATGGAGTAAGGGAAGTCGGAGGAAGAGTGCTCTATTTTAAAATAAGAGCTATGTAGACGCTCCCTACACAAATTTGCATTGCTTATTTTGAGTTAACATCTGCTGTGCAAACACACCCTAAGTTACGGCTGAGGAATAGTGGTGGGGAGGTCTGGTGGAAGCTTGCACTGTGACTGCCTGTGCTGTTCCTGTTCTGTACATAAATGGAAAACTTTGATCTTCACAAGAGTCTGCACCAGCAGAACCTAGTGCATGATAAGTGCCTTAATGATGGAAGTAGACACTGGTTTAGAGAACTCAAAGCAAAATCATGAAACAGGCACAAATGTAATATAAAATTAAAACCAAAACCTCAGAATGCCTTATGAAGTGTTCTTGTGCATATTTGGAAGAGGGAAAATAAAGTCTTGAAAAGTTAATCATCTGTCAAAGGCCTATGCAAGTCTTCCTTCCATAATTCTGCAATATTCTATAGTACTTTTTCGTGAAGTACTGTATTCCTCCAGCAACTATTCACTATACAGAGTATTAGCACAAAAGTACATATTATGATTTGCTAGAAAAATCTTATTACATATGTTTTGTCTCATGTTGCTAGTAATCTTTCATTAACCCACTAAAATGTAATGTTAAGATAACAGCTTCCCCAAATGCATCCTACTGGCTCCATATCATAACCAAATCTTCCAAATTCCGGTCCCAGAATGCACCAAGGCTCGTGCCAACCTGGGTTAGATTACTAGGGCACAGTCAATTTTAATTGTTACAAATTCCTAGCTCAACATACAGAGGAAATCTTGGAGAACATAGGTTATTTTAAATTAGAGTTCTGCTTTTATTGTTTTCTATTAAGACTGCCACCTTCTATAATGTGGTAATTCTTTTCTTAGACTACAGAAGATGAGCCCTCTGAAAAGGATGCTTTGCAGCCAGGACGAAATATTGTTGCAGCAGGCTATGCCTTGTATGGAAGTGCTACGCTGGTGGCTCTTTCTACCGGACAAGGAGTGGACTGCTTCATGCTAGATCCGGTATACCCAAGATGTTAATTACTTTATACCTTCTTGTTGCCTTTTAGTATTTCATGTGCTAGGCTTTACTTATTTTCTCATTTCCTATCCCTCTAGTCTAAAGAATATTATTTGTGTCATTCTCCCATTTGCCCATGTCCTGTTTTAATCCATATTCATCCTACTGGTACTTGGTAATACAAACCCACCTTGGCTGCTGTACTCTAATCCCATTCATGAAAGAGAAGAAAATGAGACCTTGCCTCTGTGCATTAAGACAATAACACATCCCTATACTAGGAAACATTTAAGAAAACTTATCATGGACAGTGCAGTGTATTTGCTTCCAATGAAAGGCCCTATCCTATCTTTAAGGGTCTCAGTTAAGCTTTTAACTCAGCAGATGCAAATATTAATTGTGTGTATAATTTGTATATACTTATACCCCTAACTGCCTGACTATCTCAGCAGGTGAGGCAGTTTTACTTTAAATGATTTAACTTGCATGCTCAAATATTGCAAATGCAAAAGTGTGCCCAGAAAACTGCAGACTGCTTCTCAACATCAGGCTCAAGAAGCCCAGAGAGCATTGTACAGGGAGCTTGAGAAGAAGCTGGCGCCTTTAGAAAGTCAGCACACAGTGAGTGGAATCTTGGTTCCAGTGAGGCCAACCAGTTTGCATTGACTTCAGGGAATTGACCTAAGCTCTGAAAGTAACTCACTGAAGAGAAGAATGGGGACAGAATTGATGTGAAGGACACTGAATTAATTGATTAGAATTTTAGGGAGAAGCTGGAAGCTCCAAATCATTACTCAAAATGTTCAGAATAGTTGACAAATACACACACTGGGGATGCACAGGGTCAGTTAAAAATCAAAAGACAGATCGAAAAACAATTTTCCCCCCAAAAAAAGTCTCATTCTTTTGAGGCCAATCTCATGATGTTTTCAGGTATGGTGTTTTTAACATTTGGGATTCATAATACTGGACTGGTATTCATTTTATTGTATTAATAATTATTTCTGAGATTACTTTTGTTCACATTGAAGATACAGCAAGTATTCCTGAACCTAATGCAGTTTGCCAGCTTGAGATATGTTTGAAACAAAGACAAGTCATATAAACAAATGCTGATTGAAGGGCCATGCTGTGCTGAAGTCTTTCAAACTTTCCTTTAGGCTGGTATTTCTATAGAGTATGCAAGATATCCTGCTGACTGCTAGTAATTGGTGCACCTAATTCTTCTACAGGCTCTTGGTGAATTTGTTCTGGTGGATAAAGATGTGAAAATCAAGAAGAAAGGGAAGACTTACAGTATCAATGAGGGTTATGCTAAGTATTTTGATCCTGCGATGACTGAGTATTTACAAAGGAAGAAATTCCCTGAGGTGAGAAAATAGCAGCTTTGTAATCAGCTAATGCAGAAAGGGCTAATACTGCTTTGAGCGCAGTATTCCTCAAAGAGGAGGATAGGTTTGATTATTTATTGAATTATAATCCTGATCACCATTACCTACAACCTGGTACATTAGGGGAAGCTACATGGCTAAAGTACTTTGGCTTCCACTAATCTGGAAATCATTGTTTAAAAAGTCAACTGTTGTGGGAGCCAAACTCACTGGTATTCTGTAACGGTGTGGAGAAAGATGTGTTATAAGCACCAGTGTTTTAAAGGACCTCTGAAATTATCAATGCAAAATTTGGACATGCACCTATTTTCAAATATACGTGCATGTTATGAACTGAGCTGCATAATTATTCCGGATGGGTAAAACTACCAAGCTTCACAAGTTTACTTAAATTCCACAGACACACTCACACTCTATATATCACATTAGGAGCTACTGAGTTAATATCAAATTGTATCCGGATGCAGATACAAATTAGGCATTTCTGAGAGTCTAATCAGAGGAAAAAATGTATTTCATTGGCATTCATGTCCCTGTTATCTTTGAAAGGGGAAATCTGGGCATTGTTCCAGCCATTATGCAGCATACATTAGCTTTCTCATCTGAAAGAAAAACATATGAGATACTAAATTGTAGCTGTGAGAATGCTGGAATGTAACAAAGAATCAACCAAGAAGTAAAACTTGAAAACTACAGGGAATACTGAATGTGCACTTGCTAGTGTCTTGCTCCTAAACGGAAGTCAAAGATCAACTTTTTTGTCAGTTTGCCTGGTTGTTGTGGTGCAGGAGACAGCTGCACTAAAATTACGGTAAGTCGTTTCTGTTTTATATTATTTGTAGCATGATCATGCAACCAGCTGTATCTGTATCTGCTATGTGTCTATCATGGCAAGAAACAGCAAAACCCTGAAAGAGGAAGCAGCATTCCCAGCTGTCCTTCCTATTCCCATATACTTATGATCATAATATTAAGTACAGTATCCCATAAGTGTTAAGGAAATAAAACTTTGATTTCTGTCTCGTAACAAAATGAAGAGGACAATGATACATTGCAGTTCTGCCAGCTATTCTGCTTGATACATAATACAGCTTTAACTTCAATGTTTCTATTTGTTTTACAGGATGGCAGTGCCCCTTATGGCTCTAGATATGTGGGTTCAATGGTGGCTGATGTTCATCGCACCCTGATGTATGGTGGGATATTCATGTACCCAGCTAACCAGAAGAGTCCTAAGGGAAAGGTAAAACTGTCTTCTAAATTTACTGTACCTAATGCTGCTGCTTTTCCAGAATGAGAGACAGAATTGTAGTTATTTATGCACAACGTCTTGAATATAACTTCTCTTGAGCTGGCTTCGGAGTATATTAAGGGTCATGAAAGTCATAGCATTTACAAATTAAATTGGGTCCAACTCAACAGTGGTCCCATCTAACATGCTTCTGACCTTTCCAATTCATCCCATTTATGTTTGTTTCTAAACCAATCACTGTGTTACAAACTACACACACATCCTGCAGTGGAGTCAGAGACTAAAGACTCAACCGAAGGAACAAATCAGTAAGTACCTGTTGAAGAGAAGGAATTGATAGGAGCAGGGAAAGAACTGGTTTCAGACCATGCTGACACCGCATTATGAAATGATTTCCAAGATTGGTTTTTTTAAGCCATTCCAGACAACATGGTTCCTAGGGCAAACTTGCTCATAATGTCTGAATGTTAAAGACCATCTAGCTGGACTGACCATTTATTACAGAATATGTGAGGTGGTCATGCGTGTGAGAGAACTGGCTTTACACATTTTCTTTTTCAGTTAAGTCTTTGTATGTGGAATAATATAAAGCAGCTGTCATTGTCAAGTGAGTGAGATAAGAGACAGGAAAAAAGGGACATCCTGAAGGTACTGGCAGGCATATACAGAGAAGCAGCATACATGAAATGTGTATTGTATTCTAGACCGCTGAGCAAAGGGTGTATGGATGTGGGATCTTCATTTTACATGAACAGCTGTGCCAGATACGGTTTAAAAAAAACATATGCTGAAACTTCACTTTCTGCACCTTCTTTTAAAGGGAATAGTGATTTTAAAGTGGATTCATTTCACAACTTTTGAGAAAGCAAGAAACAAATGTAAGATTCAAGGGTTTAAGCTTGTGAACTAGGTAATGGCTGACCTGAATTGTGTTGTCATGAAGGAGCGGGAAAGGTAACACGTAATTCAAGACTTTTATTCAGGAAGTCTGGGTGCATTGTGCAGGAGATGTATTTAGGTGCGGAAAGGAGTATTTTGGAGACACTGTTTTCTCAGTCTGCTTCCAAGATCTCTGTTTTTAATATGAGTGGGGACTGCTTTTTAATGGATGTCTGTTCAACACACAAAATAAGAGGCTTTCTGGGTCACTGTCAGTTCAGAGGAAAAGGGCTTGTGATCAGAGGTGAAGGATCAGGATCACTGATTCTAGACCTGTTTGTACAGTACAGTACATCAATTCATCCTAAGTTAGGACAAGAAGCAATGGGCTTAAATTGCAGCAGGGGAGGTTTAGGTTGGACATCAGGAAAAGCTTCCTAACTGTCAGGGTGGTTAAACACAGGAATAAATTGCCGAGGGAGGTTTGGAATCTCCATCACTGGAGATATTTAAGAGCAGGTTGAATAGACATTTGTCAGGGATGCTCAAGATCAGTATTTCTGAAAGTGTTCCATAGAATCACTCTCAGAAACACATTAAGCAGGTGCCCTGGTTTGTTTATTTACCAGTGGCCTGGCCCATGCCATTTCCCGCGGCTCCCCTTAGCTGCAAAGGACAAAACGGAGCCAATGGGAGCCGCAAGTCTCCGTGTCCGTGGTGCTGATAAATAAACAAACTGGGGCAGCCAGTTTCAGAGAGTGATTCTGCTGAACACTTTCAGAAACACTGCTCTAGATGGTGCTTGGTCCTGCTGTGAAGGCAGGCAACTGGACTTGATGACCTGTTGAGTTCTAGTATTCTATTATTCTAATGCTATTCCAGTTTGAAAGACAGTACTATTGCAACTGTTATCCAATCATCCTCCTCCATGCCATGAACATTCCCAACACCATAGGCAGTGGGCTGAGAGAGCAAATATGTGGAGTTATACCTGGGATAGATTTGGTTGGTCCTTGGATTTTGGAGCAGACGCATATGATAGGCATGCTAAATGAACAACCTGGTACAGCACTAAGGCCACTCTCTATAGGTCAAGTTAAAAATAAGAGTGTAAAGTGTACAATATATACAACAAGAGTTAATCTTTTTGTCTCTCATTGCAACAAACAGTATCGGTCTATTTGCAGATGCTGTTTGGAAACTGAAAATGTTAACCAAATATGGTTGGTGGATCTATTATTCACAATGCTCTAAAGCTTTACAAAATGTTACTACATTTAAAGGAAGGATGCTCCTACCTTGAACTAAAGTGAAAAAGTATGCTTTTGACCTGGACACAGTGGTGAATCAGAAACACATGAAGGGATGGATTTTAAGCAGCAGCTTGAAAATTTACTAAACCCCACCTATGGGAGCTATGCTACCCATCCTAGCACCCAGATTTCCATATAACAGGCATTTAAGTAGTTCCAGTGTGGGATTCTAGGGATCCCATTATATAACCCAAAACTCAAGATACTTTCCTCTGCCTACTTCTAGCATTCAGCTTGCTCTTCTGAATCCTGCCACCCACTCTCATCCGCTTGTGAGTGCCACAGAGGATACCAAAATGGGAGTTTCCTTCCTGTTAAGGTGGATGGATGGCATTCTTAAGGTTTATAGTCACATTGAAGCAGTGACAAACCCAACCTGATTCTGCAATGACATCATGGCTGTTTTGTAGCAGGTTTTCTTTTTTGAATTGGCCATGCCATAAAGAGAATTCAAAGGTCATGGCTACCACAGAGAATGAAGAGGTGCTGGATGTATGTTACCTGTTAGTGGGACATTGTGTACTTAGAATGGCATTTAAACAAACTTTAAAGATAAAAAGTAAGAAAAAGTGAATGCTATGTGCATTGTTTAAGTGTATGAAATTCCTGGTATGATTGCAGTGTGATCACAGAAATTATTACAGAGTTGGTTGCATTCCATTACATACTTCGATATCCCCAAAGCACAGTTTATTTTTGGAAGGGTGTTTTATGTTTGTATAGGCTTTCCCATGCCACACAAAATGCCTACCTTACACGCGTGTTAGGTAGGCAAGTATTATTATCCCTAGTTTACAAACGGAGACCTGAGGAATAAGCGTAATAAGAATTTTATCCAAGCAGATCTTCCAAAACCAAGTCCATTAACTTAACCTTGTTAAATCACTAGCTTTTCTTTTTTCAGTGACATTGGAACAATTTGTGTAGTTGGGATGCTGAGAGCCATTGAAACAAACTATACATGATGGAAACTATTTCAAGACATAGGATGCAGTTGCATCCCCAGCACCTCTAGTTCCAGCTCCACTGAGTTTTTTGGCATATGATCTACATCCTTGCATTCAAGCTGGAACATTTTAATGATGACATATGGAAATCTAGGCTGAAATTTCTGTTAACATTAATAAGTATTAGGGGCCTAGTGGACTTCACACTATATGGACAATACTTTTCTAAAATGACTATAGTTATTTGAAAAAACTGAGTTACTGTCTGCCTGAACTCAGCGCATTGTAACAGGTTTAGTCACAGTTGTATAGTGTTGCATTCAATTCCTGAAACTTGAGAATGTCAGCATCAGGTTTCAGACTCCAAAATATTCTGAGCAAACACAACTATCCCAGCTATAAGATAACAAATAGGCCTGTGGGAAGGCGCTAATTTAACCACTTCAGGGCTGCATGCAGCCTCAAGAATCTGGAAAAACTTATTGCCAGTGCTCTCCCACCGACCATATACCCTCACTTTGAAATGGACTATTGATACTTCTGTACAACATCACTGCGTTCTTCTACAGCCTCTACCAAAGTGGCAATGGATGGCAGAAGCAAACACTTTAAAAATCTCATAATAGGAATGGGAACATGATGCTTATGGGGAGAACATTATTGTTAAAGAAATCCAGAAAGAAGGCTGATGAAAGAGAGGCTATAAAGAGGCTGAGTTGAATGGTTAAAACACTGGCAGAGGGTCTACACCAGAACTCCCATCATTTCTAACACCAGTAAAACTATGGTGGTGATGTTTCTCTAGTAAGAGACTTATAGAAGCCTGCCAAGGTCATAAAGGGAAAGTCAGCACTTTTAAGTTCTAAGAAGTGCTTCATTTTTTCCCTCCTAACTGTCCTGTGTTTTGTGTCTTCTTACAGCTCCGGCTCCTTTATGAGTGCAACCCCATGGCTTTCATCATTGAGCAGGCAGGTGGGATGGCTACCACAGGAACTGAGCCAGTGCTGGATGTGAAGCCTGAGTCTATTCACCAGAGAGTCCCGTTCATTCTTGGTTCCCCAGATGATGTGCAGGAATACCTTGCCTGTGTGCAGAAACACCAGAAAAGTAGCTAATGGCATTCACAGCCCAGATGTTCCACCTGCACCAGCTACATTGCTTTCCACAAAGAGAAGCAATCAGATTACTTGAGTTTCCAAGGTATCAGTTCTCCCTTTCATTGACAACTATAGAAACAGTGAAAACTGTTCCTAAAGGTTTTATTTCCCCTTGAATACAAGTGCAAAAATTCTTTAGTTTCAGTTTCTATAATACAAGAGTAGAAGCCAAGTCCTAATTTTAAGAGTAACAGTAGCTACTTGCTTCACACTAACAAAGGAAGTGAATTGTTTGGGTTACACTATTTGATTTAAAGCTAGATGTCTGATAATGCAGTGACTGGGATTGAGACAAAGCATTTTTATGTCAATATTCCAGACTTAATTTAGATATTATGTAACTATTTTCTGCTGGAGGTTTTGCTGCAGGCAATTTTTATTTTGTCAGCCCACATTCTATCCACAGTCTTGTGATCTGAGTATGTTTATGTTGCAAATAATATTTGCATTGGGTAATTAATAAAGATTAAAATTGAATTAACTTTCCATGGGAATGGAAAAATGCTTCATATGGTGCCTGAAATCATTTCTATTTCCCTTCTGTCCAGAGTCCCATATAATTTCACACAAGCTAATACCACACAGCAACTGCCACATCTCAACTGCTCTTTATGAAGGATTTATCATGTCACACTTATACTTACTTACACTTCTCCGGCTACACATGGTGTGGTCTTTATCTAGCCCAGATAATTCTAGTACATCCATCACCTTGATATCCAGGTGCTCTGTCTTATGTGTATCTATGTAAATTATGGCCTTGTAAATCCATTATCATGACACTGACTATATTACACTTCATCTTAAAAGTCTGGAACTGCTTTTTTCTTTGCATCCATCATTTTAGTTTTTTGTCCACATTTATACTTTGCAAGTTGAGAGTTATGCTCAACAAGTGAGTTCACTCACATTTACTTTACTCATGCACATATATACATTTGTAAACCAATCTACATTACTCTTATATAGAGAACAAAGTGTGGGTACAAAATTTGTATCCACATCTGATCTGTGATCCTCAAAAATGATATAAAGCAAATGACTTTTCATTAGGTGATGTAGCTACTTTCTGGCCCAACCTCAATGTGGGTTTGTTTCGCAGACTCAACCAATAAGCAACTATCAGCCCTGCCTCAACCACTGCACATTTAATTTAATTTGCAATATGCATCCTACAACACAAAAATCCAGAGGAGAGCAGCTATAAATGCCTTTCTCCTGCATTCCAGATGAGAACAGTTATCGAGGCAGGATTAATCCATTTTCAGTCCTAAACAAGCTATGCACATGTGTGAAGTAGAAATCTTCCATTTAAAATGGAGAGAGACAATTACTAAAACTGCCTGTGGTTGATTGTGTTGTGATATTATGGCTCTATGAGCTGCAATTTTCAGATCTTCATATCTCAGCTGAATCCAAAGAGATTTTCAGCTGGACATTGAAAGGTCTCGCTCCCTTTTATGGACCATTTCAGTGCCAAATTTAAATATTTTATTGCCACACACTTCAGAACTGTATAATTTTGAAAAAAAAAGGCACAAAAATGTTTTCTAATTGAAAAAGTACTATTTTGGCTCTGACCATTTTTTTTTCCCAGGGATGGCTAGACTATTTATTCTGGAATCATGAACAATTTCCCTTGGCTGGACTCTAGGTCTTGAAAAATTAGGATTAGAATGGAAATGTTTAAACCACTTTAATTACAGTACAGAAGTCATTGTCACTACTGCTAGAATTGCAGTTGATCCTCTTTATCGCCGTAACCTTAAAAGCTACGCTATAGTCAGCAAAAGTAGCTACAACAAAAGGAGAGGAGAGAAAAAGTCTGTATAAAACTTGGTCTGTCATGCCAACCTTGTTATGCTGCCACTGAAAGTTAATTTTAAAACAAAAAGAAACTCCACTCGGCATTTTTTTTAAAAAAATGCCATTGAGCCTTCTAGTATTGCAGTGACAACAACCTTGGCTCAATAGATATTCCACAACCATGTACAGCCTGCTAGTGCCAATTCAATTAGACCAGTATCCAGATGCTGCTATTAGAATACCCAGATAAACTCTACTGATATAAACATCTTTATATCAGTATAACAGAACTATATTATGATGTTTGGCATATCAGTGCAACCCCAATATAGTTAAATTCTTAGAAAAACTGTATATATCACATCTTAATTTTCCTAATTTTTTTGCCAGATGCCATACTCATACTAGTCCAGCCTCTTCCACAGGAGGATCTAATGCTGAATAATAGAGATGACAAACTCTTAACTTCCAGTCTTGTAGCAACTACAGTATTATGCGATAAAAGCCCACAATTTGTGGACAGAGATTGAGACCTATCTGTATTCAGGAATAGCCCCAATTCAACAACTACATAGCTGCACTAGTGCAAATCACATGTGTAAATAAAAAAAACCCCTCTAGTTGACACTGGTGTAAATTCTGGCTTTCCTTGTCCACACGAGGAGTCTGGGTTTGAATTGGTGCAGCCACTCACTCACTCACTCTCATGTATTTATATGGCTTTGTTTTTAGCACCTCACAATCTTTAAGCATCATCAGAACACCCTGGTATATAGGGAAGTGTTATCCCTATTTTACATGTGAGGAACTGAGAGTAAGAGTTAGAAATGAAACCTTGGAAGCCATTTGTTAACCCCCTAATTACTGCACTCAACTTCCTCCACATTGGTGACTGGCCATCAGTTACTGGAAAAGGGGGCAGTTTCCCAACACAGAGAAGGCTTAAACTAAATAAAAAAACACAAGGAGTTGGGTGGCACCTTAATTTGTTGTTTTTATTGAAACAGACTCAGCTTTCAGAGGAAGCTGCATTACACTGGTAAAATTGTTCTGAAGTAGATTCAAAAATCAGAATACTGACTGATTAGGTTATGCCACATACCTAGATCCTAGAGACAATAAGCGAGCAATTTTTGAAGCATGTGGTACACAGGACCCAGAGAAAGAGGAGGTATGTCCATTTCTTCTCTTCAAGAGAGCTATGAGTGACAGAATAGGGGGACCTAGGGATACAACAGGGGCATAGCCATACCTGCATTCTTACTGCTGCAAAGGGAAGAAGGAGTGGCCAAATTTGGGATACAAGACGTGGATCCATCCTCTAGTATTAGGAATCTCCTCTAATCCAGAGTCGTAACTAGGTAATTTGACACCTGAGGCAAGACCGTCCTTGGCATGGACATGCTGACGTTGCAGGGGTGCTGACATGGCGGGAGGCACAAGCGAAAACAGCGTAGCAGCTGTCTTTTCTGTGCCCCCTCAGCTATGCGCCCAAAGTAAGTGCGTCACTCGCCTCGCCCTTGTTATGGCCCTGCTCTAATCTATGGGCCTGGAGACAAGAGTATCTTTAAACCATTGGGTATGTAGACCAACAAACATCAAATTCAATTTTGGAACTGAAGATTTTCTAACAAAATACATATTCATACCCTTACTCAGAGTTATTCTGAGAAGACACCGTGGTAGCTAAGTCTCTAAGGCTAGGTCTACACTAGGGAATAAGTTGGAATTAAGATATGCAACTACAGCTAAGTTAATTGCATAGCTTCAGTCGAAGTATTTAAATAAAATTTTGGTGACATCCACACTGCGGGAAGTCGAAGGGAGCAGGACAACCAGCATTGACAGGAGCACCCTCTCATTTCTAATTAGTGTGTGTTCACTAGGCCTTCTAATTTCAACCCCAGAAAATAGACTGCGGTAGCTTTGATCTTCTCTGTAGTGTAGACATGGCCTAAGAGCTTTTTTGTTTTTTTAATTTGACCTCACAGTGTCCAGAAGTTAGCTGGCTTAACTACACACCAAGGGGAAGAATTTTTCACTTCCCTGAGCAACTTAGCTAGGTCAATTTAAGGTGTAGATCACATCTGAGAATGCAGATGGTCTGTGTTGCATGTAGCTCCACAAGAGTCCTGATATCACTGGGCCACCACCTCTTCCCCATGGCTGGTTGCCAGGATGTGTGAATACAGGCAGACAGCTGAAGAAACTCAGACATGATGGTCTTTATAAATAGAGGGTCAGAGAAACCACATTTAGCAACTGAAATCCAATCAAATAGGGACATGCAGCCTTGACTAAGAGAGAAACTGGGAATCCTGGGGGTATTTGTTATACGCAGTAGTAAACACTTTTTTGCTGATCACAGTTGTTAGCTCTGACAATTTGGCAGTGTCAAGTGATCAAGCTTTTTCAGCAAATAGCAGCATTGTACTCCAGTTCAGCCTACTATCAACATGACACAATAGGAAAGGCTTTGACACTTAAAACTACCAGCTACAGGTAGCAAACTCTGCAAATGTCTACAGTTAAGACATATACATGAAGGTGCTCCTGTATATTTATCTCTATCACTATATTTCTTTGCCCTTTTAATATTTAGTATATTGAAAATGGAGTCCAGTTGCAACAAGTATTTACTATGGCTTTAGGGACAACATGCAAAAATCTAGATTAATTATACTGTAGCTAGGATCTGACATTTAAAATATATATATATACATTATACTGTAGCTAGGATCTGACATTTAAAAAATATATTTATACTTTTTTTTTACTCTTGTCACACTTAATTATAAAAAAAAGAATTTCAATGTGTTAGAACCTATTTCAGTAATAAAACAAAGAAATTATTTGAACCTTCTGATGTCTGAGAATCTGAAAACTCCCCTGGCAAAGCAAAAGAGAGCCAACTACTCTGAGCAGTTCATCTTCAGCAAGAGAAGGATTGTATTGTAGCTAAAATCACAGGACTAGGGATCAGAAGATGTGGGTTCTATTTCAGGAATGTAAGATTCTCAGACAATTTGCTGCCAGAAACCTTCACAATCTAGTCACATGCTGCTGTCCTGTTTATCCTAGCTCTGCAGAAAACATTATCCGGCTACCCAACAGCAGTGCCATAGAACAAACATTACTATCTATCAACCCATTCATTCCAGTGAGATGTTAAAGCCTAGTTGGACCCATTTAAATACTGGCATTATTAGTCAAATGTAACTGTGTTAAGAATTTGAAGAAAAAATAATTGGAAGTGGAAGCACCTTTTAGAACTGAGCTGCGTTGTATTTTCCATAGATTTCCCTCGGGATAGCCGTGGCCCGAGAGTCAGCAATGGACTACATGATATAAGAGGTCTATATTGCTTTCTAAAGCCATGTCTGTGAGATCTAGACTTGTGGATTCCGTGTTCATAAGCCTGCACTTGAGCATCCAACTCTGCATCTGTTTACCAAGGTTTACAATTACAGGACCCAAGTCTCAAAGCCATACTAACACATCCACCCTAGGTTTTGGATCCTGCGTGGTTGCTGACCCAAGTCAGATGCTTTCTGTGTGAATGGAATTGGGGCTTGAACTCAAACCTGAGTCAGAGAGAGTCCTGCTTAATGTGCAGTATAGACATACCAAAGGGCAGAGCTAAAAAACAGCCGCAGGATCTCCATGCAAATAATT